GGAAAAAAAAACCCTACAGAAGTATGGATCTGCTGCTCTTCATAGCTTTCTATGGTTTCACTGGTTTCTCCCTCTGACCTGATGTCCTCACTCTTTCTGCAGTGACATGAGGTAAGAGAGGAACCAGTGAAAGCTGTGTGGAACCCAGAAGATCCCAGCAGACGTCAGGGGACCAGCTCTAGTGATTAGAGAGAGTGAGTATTTATGGCCTTCTACAGGTTTGAAAAACTAGCAGCGGGATTGCTTTATTGGCTGATGTTTTGTGATCTAAATTTAAACTTTTGTTCTTCAAGAATCAGAAGAAAGCTGAAAATGATGAGGACTTAGAAGTTAAAAAGCAGCTGTCAAATCATTCACATGCTGAAGATAAAGAAACTTCAGAAGCAGATTTCCGTATGTATATTGTTCATGCATCTATCCATTACAATGTACAGACTAGACTAGTATATTTTGTTTTCTTTATCATTGCTCCAAAATCCATACACCTGAATGCTGCAGTTTTCTTGTCTTGGAAACTAAAAGATATGAAACGGCTACGCACAAAGCGGTAATCAACCCAAAAGCAACCATTTTATTATACAGCAGCTTACCAATTCTTAAATGTGGTGGCTGCATTGTTTTTCCTTTTATTTTCATCCGGTTATCAAGACCGTAAGTCTGGTTTTTTTAACAGAATACGCTCCTTTTTTTTTTTTTTTTTTTTTTTTTTTACTCGCTTAATATGCACCAAAAATGCTTCAAGCGAGATTTTTAACACCACAAGGGAAATGCAATGGACCATATTCATGATATTATTTAAAAAGTTTAATATAATAAAATATATGTATGTATGTGATAGCAGTAACACTGGCTGTGAGGGAGAAAGAGCTGTCAGTAACAAAGGCACCACACTGTTGGCCTTACACCAATCCAGTGGTACCACGGCAGTCATTAACTATAAATATATAATATATATATATATATATATATATATATATATATATATATATATATATATATATATATATGTGTGTGTGTATATATACATACATACATGCATACCAGACCTAGGGAGACTGACAGTTGTTTTGTGTTTCTTCCATTTGCGAATGATTGCACCAACTGTTGTCACCTTCTCACCAAGCTGCTTGGCGATAGTTTGGTAGCCCAGTCCAGCCTTGTGTAGGTCTACAATATTGTTCCTGACATCCTTGTACAGCTCTTTGGTCTTTGCCATGGTGGAGAGTTTGGTTGTTTGATTGCTCCTGTGGACAGGTGTCTTTTATACAGGTAACAAAATGAGATTAGCAGCACTCCCTTTAAGAGACTGCTTCTAATCTCAGCTTGTTACCTGTATGAAAGACACCTGGTAGCCAGAAATCCTGCTGAATGATAGGGGATCAAATACTTATTTCCCTCATGAACATCCAAATCAGTGCATAATTTGTTAGACATGCATTTCTTTTGAATTTTTGGTTGCTACTCTGTCTCTATTCTGTCTCTCAGTGTAACAATACACCTACCATTCAATTTTTAGACTGATCATTTCTTTGTGAGTGAACAACCTTTCAAAATCAGCAGGGGATCAAATACTTATTTCCTTCACTGTATGTATGTACGTATACGTACACACACACCGTATGATTACTGACAGGGAGGACGGCTGCATTGTTTACAAAAATAGATTTTGTTTGGGTGCCGCATTGCATGACCACTCAATTGTCAGTTAAAGTAACGCAAACAGCTTCTGTAAGGAGTCTAAAATGAGATAAAATCACCTTGAAGTAACAGAGCTCAACTCTGTGGACATGTGGAGTGTACGGAGATCCACGAGGCAGTGTTAGCAGTATCAGCCATTAGTGGTCTCTAACAGCTGTCAAAATTCAGTCCCTTGATATGCTGGCTTTGAAATTGGAGAAAAGCCGCAATTGCATTTAAAAACTATGCTGTTTTTAAAATGCAATTACCGTCTTTTTTTTTTTTTTTTTTTTTTATAGTCCTTTTTTTATAGCTCAGAAAAGGAGCTGTCATTCTCGGGTGGCTAAAAGAAACAAAGGGGCAGAGTCATCTAGTGACCTGCCCCCTTTTTTTCCTTTAGCCCTCCGAGAAGGACAGCTCTTTCTCTGAGCTTATAGTGAAGGTAATTATATTAAAAACTGGCACTGGCACTGATATATAGTGACAGCCAGTGAGAGGGAGCCTCTCTGTACACACTGCTCCCTCTCTGTATACACCACTTCATTCCTACTCCCACCTTGCACACACTGCCCCCCCCCCCCCCCCCCCCTACAAAGAGGACCTGCCACTTATATGCTATCACATAGAGGACTATTGGTTCCCTATGTGATGGCAATAAAATCATAAGAAAAAAAAATATATATATAAATAAAAAATTGGAGCCTCCCCACCCCCACATACACAGATGTTTTGGTGTGGCTTTCGGCCACATGCATTCTGAATTTTCGGTATCGGTTTCGGCACCAGACTTTTCATTTCGGTGTACCACTAGTGTTTAGAGCTGTTTTTTATTTTCTTCTGTTATAAAATTTAGCACAAAAGAAGACCTGAGAAAATGTCTTTTTCTGAATTGTTTTTCCCCAACACACTCTGACCAGAGCAATACAGTGTTACCATAGTAGCATTGTACTACTCACTCAGGGCAAGTAATCAGGATTTTACACGCACACACACACACACACCCTCCCCCTCTCTCTCTCTCTCCCCTCTCTCTCTCTCCCTCTCTCTCTCTCTCTCTCCCTCTCTCTCTCTCCCTCTCCAAGTTCTCCTACTTAAAAAGATGAGAGAGGCCTGTAATTGGCATCATAGGTAGACCTCAACAATGAGAGACAAAATGAGAAAAAAAAAATCCAGACAATCACATTGGCTGATTTGGAAAGAATTTATTTGCAAATTATGGTGGAAAATAAGTATTTGGTCACCTACAAACAAGCAAGATTTCTGGCTCTCACAGACCTGTACCTTCTTCTTTAAGAGGCTCCTCTGTCCTGCACTCATTACCTGTATCAATGGCACCTGTTTGAACTTGTTATCAGTATAAAAGACACCTGTCCACAACCTCCAAACAGTCACACTCCAAACTCCACTATGGTGAAGACCAAAGAGCTGTCGAAGGACACCAAAAACAAAATTGTAGACCTGCACCAGGCTGGGAAGACTGAATCTGTAATAGGCAAGCAGCTTGGTGTGAACAAATCAACTGTGGAAGCAATAATTAGAAAATGGAAGACATACAAGACCACTGATAATCTCCCTCGATCTGGGGCTCCACACAAGATCTCACCCCGTGGGGTCGAAATGATCACAAGAACTGTGAGCAAAAATCCCAGGACCACACGGGGGGGGGGGCGGGCCTAGTGAATGACCTGCAGAGAGCTGGGACCAACGTAACAAAGGCTACCATCAGTAACACACTACGCCGCCAGGGACTCAGATCCTGCAGTGCCAGACGTGTCCCCCTGCTTAAGCCAGTACATGTCCGGGCCCGTCTGAAGTTTGCTAGAGAGCATTTGGATGACACAGAAGAGGACTGGAGAATGTCATGTGGTCAGATGAAACCAAAATAGAACTGTTTGGTAGAAACACAACTCGTCGTGTTTGGAGGAGAGAGAATGCTGAGTTGCATCCAAAGAACACCATACCTACTGTGAAGCATGGGGGTGGCAACATCATGCTTTGGGGCTTTTTCTCCGCAAAGGGACCAGGTCGACTGATCCATGTACAGAACAGAATGAATGGGGCCATGTATCGTGAGATTTTGAGTGCAAACCTCCTTCCATCAGCAAGGGCATTGAAAATGAAACGTGGCTGGGTCTTCCAACATGACAATGATCCCAAACATACCGCCCGAGCAATGAAGGAGTGGCTTAATAAGAAGCATTTCAAGGTCCTGGAGTGGCCTAGCCAGTCTCCAGATCTCAACCCCATAGAAAACCTTTGGAGGGAGTTGAAAGTCTGTGTTGCCCAGCGACAGCCCCAAAACATCACTGCTCTGCTCTAGAGGAGATCTGCATGGAGGAATGGCCCAACATACCAGCAACAGTGTGTGCCAACTTTGTGAAGACTTACAGGAAACGTGTGTATGTATGTATGTATGTATGTATGTGTGTATATATATATATATATATATATATATATATATATATATAATATATATAAAAATTATGATTGCTTATACCAATGTATTTCATTGCTATTAGCAACTATTTTTACTGAATTAAACTGTTTCATTCAGTGTCTTTTGTTGTGATTTAGCTATGATTGACCAAAGCTTACATGGGGTACAGATGGGCTGTGATTGGCCCTGTCTGTACCATGTGACCAATCACAGCAAACTACACAATTGTATACAATGGATGGCATGAAAGCAAGCCATCCATTGTGTACAATTGTCATGAGATCTGCTGTGACTGGTCACAGCAATCACATGACACTGGCAGTGGGCCGGTGTTGGGATCAGTCTGGTGGACACAGCCGGTGACAGATCTCGCCGCTGCGTTTCTACGTGGCTTCATGAGCGGCGCCTTCTGAGAGGACATCATATGACATCCACTCAGGAGGAGGAGAGTCCCTCCTGTCCATCAATTTGCTATAGGCTGGGCGGAAAGGTGTTAAATAGTTTCTCATCCTTGTAATTGCTACTTTGTCTGGACAGTTTGGTCTGTTAAATGAAGTTGAAAAATAAGACTTATTGGCTGAAGTACCAGGTGAAAATAAGGTGAAAAATAAAACTAAAAAAAAAAACCTAAAGCAGCCACCACATCTAAGAATTGTTAGGGTGCAGTTTTTCTTTTTTTTTTTTTTTTTATTCTGTTTTGGGTTTAATTATGGTTTAACAATGAGGATGCAGTAAATAACCTAAAGTGTTGATAATGACAGTATACTTGAAATTGGGTCTCTTTAAAAATAACTTGCTACCTTTTACCTTTTATCAAGATACGGACAATGAAGGCTACATAGATGGTCAAGCACAAGATGTATCTCAACAGCCAAGTGCACCAGAGGAAGAAGAGGAGATAATGATTGCTCAGTCTCATGATGAAACTAGTTATAGGGAGTACGTCTCCAGAGGATGTGAAAACAAGTGTCATTCTCACTTTCATGACACACTTGGACAGTCTGATGACCTTGTACATCATCACCATGACTACCACCATATCTTACATCATCATCATCACCAAAATCATCATCCACATAGCCATTCCCAGCGCTACTCCCGGGAGGAACTAAAAGATGCTGGCATTGCCACCTTGGCTTGGATGGTAATAATGGGTGATGGATTGCACAACTTCAGTGATGGTTTAGCTATTGGTAAGTTATTTAAAAACCACTCTACAAAACACTTTGTATTTTTATGGACCTCTTACCACTATTGTAGTTCAGTAAAACAATACTTTTAGTGTGGTTATGAGGTCTCCATGCTGCTAACAGTCATACTTATGAAGAAATGCAAACTAAAATAAAAATAAAAAATTGGATTATGTTGTCCTCCCACTGAAAGTGAGAGGAATAACACTTTTGAAAGCTGTCATGTGAACAGATGTTCCCACAGGGAGATTCCCCTCATGTTCTGGTGATCACTGTTGGATTTTAGATTTCCATTCACTTTCTGGGCAAGTGGCAACAGTGAACAAGGTAGAAAGTGAAAAGCTCTCCGATGGGGTAATGGCAATAAAAACCTGACAGAGGTTCTCATACTTCTACCCAAAACTGGAATAATGGTTTTGTCTTTAGTTCCCCATAAAATCTTGGTGAGCACAAATTATTATGCTGACTTACTCATCAGAATTCCGGGCAGTGGCACGTTATATATAAATATAGAAAGTCTTATGCTTCCAGGAGAGTACTGCCTAACCTAAAAGCTGCAAGCACCAAAAAGTGTCCCACCACTCAATTGGGAAATTTTATAAATGTAGAGTGCTGCACTATGAGCTAACAAGTGCCAAAAGTAAACTAAATATTCTACCCATACACCCTAAATCCAATACATAAACCTTTTAGGTAGAAAATATTAAATATTTATAAACACCCGTCAGAGCCTAATGCCAAGGCCAAAAACAAATACTCTACCAGTGTGTTAGTAAATTCACTAAACTGTGTTCAAACTGAAAAAAATGTGTAAATAGGGTAATAAGGATGAATCAATATAATAAACAACAGGCAGACCTGCTAGACTTAGCTGTGAAAATATATCACAATAAATAATCAACCAGTGTAAATGATAGTGCAATCAATATACTGTGATCAGAATGAAACCATAAAATCTACATCTAGTCTCAGCCGTGTGAGCAAATAAAAATAAAGTGCTTAACAGAACTGAGTGAACAATATGACACAGTGGTCAATGCCACATGGGACTGTCATTGTTTATTGGAGTCCCACTCCGCAATCAAACAAACAAATTTAGGTGATAGAAGATCCTTCACTTAATATACCGCTGTGTCACCACCACCAGGCATGAACGCTCAGCTCCATGGATTGACCAATTGGTAAAACAAGCGCTCAATTCCAATCCACAATCCTCAATATAGCAAGTCTGGTTGGCGTCACCTCCTCGACGTAATGGGGCTGACGGGCTTCTCCTCCAGGCACTATCCAACTTGGGATGTGCTCAGATATAAAGACAGGAGCCTCTCATAGTGCAATCAACTTTTATTCCAGAAAAACATAAATTATAAAACCGCACTCACATAGAGCTCCAGGGCTAAGAACCCTCATAAGGCATAATACATGGGGTAAACAAAGATGGCTGTCATCATCGCACCAGAAATGATGCCACATAATATGTGACGCAACGTGTTTGGATGGAAGCTTGGAGCAATGTAACTATGCATATACCATACCATACCTGTCTGATGCCCCTGGAACCTGGAAATCACCACTTGCTTCCTAGTTTTCTGCGGCTTGGCCGGCTTGACGCATTGTGAACACAGTAAGTTGGCTGCTCAGTTCAGGGAGTCCATTCAGAGAATGCTTTGCATTTTCATAGCCTCCCTAGCGGTCTGATTTATGTCCATATTTCTGTGCTCAAAGCGGTATATTTTTTTGCATGGAAATATGTAGTTTTTTTTTTATTTTAGGCCTGTAATTTTTAGGAATAACTCACTGAAAACTGTCCGAACAAGAGTCTAGTAAACATCCCGGGTATGTTAAAATTTGAAACACAAAATCTTAAATTAAAATTTAATAATCATAAAAAAAAATCATAATATAATAAATTTAATTCAATAATATAATCAAACCGTTTTCAGTGTCTGACGAATTTCCCCACGGATGCTTTTTTGGATGCCATGGACATTTCTCAGTTTCAAGTAAACCGTAAAAATGCAGGCAGGGCACAGGACAAAGCACTCGGGACAAAATGTATGTGAAATGGTTAGATACAGTAATGTTTCACTATGTGATTTTAGTGAATGTCACTTTTAAAATGTTAAAATTTTCCGTCCCCCGTACGTCCTGACGTCGCAGGGAACGGAACCCAGAAGACAGATGCCGGCATCGGCCAGAGGACATTGCCGGGGACACTGCAGGAGGGACATCGCGGGAGTGCAGGACAAGGTAAGTGAAGAAGAGATCCCAGAGCAACGCTGCAAAGTATTCCCCAGTGTAGCTCGGGGTTAGCGCTTGTGGTGCTGAAACTTTACCCCGAGCTACACTCGGGAATACCTCCAGGGAGGTTAAGGAATGCAAGCGTCCGTATGGGGGTTTACCTCTGCTTGGACAAGGTGGAAAGTGTGGCGTGGAGTCCAGCATCTCCACATCATCGAACCAAGGAACACATTGCGTTAATTCAGACACTGCAAAACATTCTCTGAATGGCGCCCATTCCTAGATCTCTTGTATTCTCAGTGCAGGAGAGCAGCCGCTCAGCATGGGACTCGGAAGCAAATAGAGATCACTGAAGTAGTGGTGTCCACTTCAGTGATTTTCAGCTTTCAGGGGTATCGGAGAGGTATGGTCGAAGCTGGACTAATGTAACTATGTATAACATGCTGATGCCTGGAGTTCTTCCTTAAAAATGCCATACATAACTGCACAAAAGCATAGGAATACCTGCTTCTGCTGCCTGTGTTGATAAACACTGCTCTGCTGCAGAGTAATCCCTTGGAAAAGTCAAAACTTGGAAGTCGATTTCCTGTCTCTCCTAAACTGTCGAATGGTTCCTTCATGGCACTTTCCTGTAGTGACGTGACGGCTGGTAAGAGGAGCCATTGAAAACTATGGGAGGCAAGGGATCAGTAGTGTCTGTTTCAGAAGATACTCTGGCCAGAGATTACTTCAGCAGAGTGATGCTCACCAGTGCACTTTGCAGGGTAGGTAATTATTTCTATACATCTTTGCAGGTATTGCATTGTAATGAAATGCTGGGTAAACAGAGTTGCTTGAAAGATAGTATATTACAGTAAACCTATATTTTTTAGACATTTGGGTGTTTACATTGAAATTTGTTTATATTTTAATATTTGACAAAATAGAAGTGCAGCGCTACAAACAATGTCCTTTATAGCAATTATGCTAAAATGACTCATGAGAAAAGATGATTGTCCAATGCAATAATATCAGATGTGGTAAGCAGTTCAATTATGAAAAAACCTCCAAAAACGTTGGTGTAATCCAATCCAATATCGAGGGGTAGATAGATTGCCCACTTACCAGAAGCGCAATCTCAATGCGCATGTACAAGTCACATGTAGTCGCGGTCCGTAGGAGGAGCCTTCGCACGCCTTGACGTCACGCCGCCGGATCAGGAGGTCCGGCGGCCAACCCTTGTTTTTCACTGGTCAGTGCTTTGTTATATAGCCTTTGTTGGCAATAACAGAGGTCAAACATTTCCTGTAAGTCTTCACAAGGTTGGCACACACTGTTGCTGGTATGTTGGCCCATCCTCCATGCAGATCTCCTCTAGAGCAGTGATGTTTTGGGGCTGTCGCTGGGCAACACGGACTTTCAACTCCCTCCAAAGTTTTTCTATGGGGTTGAGATCTGGAGACTGGCTAGGCCACTCCAGGACCTTGAAATGCTTCTTATGAAGTCACTCCTTCGTTGCCCGGGCGGTATGTTTGGGATCATTGTCATGTTGGAAGACCCAGCCACATTTCATCTTCAATGCCCTTGCTGATGGAAGGAGGTTTGCACTCAAAATCTCACGATACATGGCCCCATTCATTCTGTCCTGTACATGGATCAGTCATCCTGGTCCCTTTGCGGAGAAACAGCCCCAAAGCATGATGTTGCAACCCCCATGCTTCACAGTAGGTATGGTGTTCTTTGGATGCAACTCTCTCCTCCAAACACGACGAGTTGTGTTTCTACCAAACAGTTCTATTTTGGTTTCATCTGACCATATGACATTCTCCCAATCCTCTTCTGGATCATCCAAATGCTCTCTAGCAAACTTCAGACGGGCCCGGACATGTACTGGCTTAAGCAGGGGGACACGTCTGGCACTGCAGGATCTGAGTCCCTGGCGGCGTAGTGTGTTGCTGATGGGAGCCTTTGTTACGTTGGTCCCAGCTCTCTGCAGGTCATTCACTAGGCCCCTCCGTGTGGTCCTGGGATTTTTGCTCACCGTTCTTGTGATCATTTTGACCCCACAGGGTGAGATCTTGCCTGGAGCCCCAGATCGAGGGAGATTATCAGTAGTCTTGCATGTCTTCCATTTTCTAATTATTGCTCACACAGTTGATTTGTTCACACCAAGCTGCTTGCCTATTGCAGATTCAGTCTTCCCAGCCTAGTGCAGGTCTACAATTTTGTTTCTGGTGTCCTTCGACAGCTCTTTGGTCTTCACCATAGTGGAGTTTGGAGTGTGACTGTTTGAGGTTGTGGACAGGTGTCTTTTATACTGATAACAAGTTCAAACAGGTGCCATTGATACAGGTAATGAGTGCAGGACAGAGGAGCCTCTTAAAGAAGAAGGTACAGGTCTGTGAGAGCCAGAAATCTTGCTTGTTTGTAGGTGACCAAATACTTATTTTCCACCATAATTTGCAAATAAATTCTTTCCAAATCAGCCAATGTGATTGTCTGGATTTTTTTTCTCATTTTGTCTCTCATAGTTGAGGTCTACCTATGATGCCAATTACAGGCCTCTCTCATCTTTTTAAGTGGGAAACCTTGCACAATTGGTGGCTTAAATACTTTTTTGCCCCACTGTATCTGGCACTGAGTCCTCATACCTCAGCCCCAGCATTTTTAGGCTTCTGTGTGGATCCGAGGAGCAGTGTGATCCGACCAGACCAGTATCTCACCATTTGAGGGACCACCTGGGTACCACCAAGCAGCGCCTACATGAGACCTCGGCTACATGTGACCTGTACATGCGCATTGAGATTGCGCTTCTGGTAAGTGGGCAATCTATCTACCCCTCGATATTGGATTGGATTACACCAACGTTTTTGGAAATTTTTTCATAATTGAACTGCTTACCACATCTGATATTATTGCATTGGACAATCATCTTTTCTCATGAGTCATTTTAACATAATTGCTATAAGGACATTGTTTGTAGCGCTGCACTTCTATTTTGTCAATTTCAGTTGGAAAAGTTTTTGTGGTTCCTTTTAGTGCATTTGCCGCTCACTGGAGTGCGCTCACTAACTTATCTACATATATTTTAATATCTATATTTAATGTTTTTATGTATGTAGAAGGGTTGTAGATTATCTGCTAGAACCAAGTTCAGTGTTTTTTGATGTGATTGAGCTCCATGAAGTCTTAAATAAAATGTGTCATTTACAGTCATCTCAGCTTACAAAGACCTCTCGCTTCAGTCTCACTGCTTTTTTGAATTGCTGTAGTTTGGCGTCATAAATCTTTGAAGCATGGGAAAGCTATAGGCTTGCATGTTAAGGAGTGCTAAAGATCAACAAGTTTGTAGCAAAGCAGAGCCTCCATATGCAAAGAGTAATTATTGCAGCACCCAAGCACATGCGGAATTGTAGATAGAAATTAATTGTTAATGTGGTAGACAACATTGCATCATGTAAAGCAGTGTAAAGTATTTCAATGTGCATTGTTTAGGAGATGTCACCTGCTGTGTCTTTCAATGATGTAAATCACACATGCTCACTATTGTCCTGATTGATGGCACACTCGGTATGCCGCCAGTCTGTCCATCTACGTGTTGTGCCTCCATCAGCATACCTCCATGGCATTGTGCAATCCTGCGAGAGTACTGACCATGTGACTAGCTATGTCACGGGTTTTGTACAGTGGCATACAACATAGGCAGCGAGGAGGATGGCATATTCTATTGACAGTTATGTAGGGCTAAGTCACCATGATAACTTTTAGATGGAAATGAGACTTGGATCACTTCTCTTGCGCACATGCGAGATTCTGGCAGTGAAATACTAGAAAGGGCAAAAGTAAAGATGAGGAAGGAATCTGGAGGTAGCTGGAAAGCTGGCCGAAGCTTTGTACAGAGCAGAAAAATACCAAAATAAACTGCACAAATGTAAGAAAGCTGTGACGATGCTCCTGGGTACATTGTTGTGTTTTGAAAAGCGATACACTGTGCCATTATGCTTGCTAGTGATTTTTGGTAGAGTTTACTACTGCTTTAAGACATTGGCTCATATGCAAAAAGTCAGCTTCTTTTAATATCTGAAAGACTGCTTTTCCTTCAAATAAATATTCAGTTATTATTATACATTTTTAATAGGTTACTGTGGAGTACAAAATCCAAAGCCTGGTCCTGCTGGGGATTGTTTTACGTAAAGGCATCTGAGGCAAAGTTATTTGGTGCACTGGAGAGAAGTACACCGTGTTCCAAATTATTATGCAAATTATATTTTTCTCATTAACCTAAATAATTGATGTAAATAACAGTCAGCATAATTCTCATGTTATCAACTATTAAGAGTACAATTCAAATTTTATTGAACAAACCACCTAATGATAACAGGATTTTTTTTTAAAACATAAAACACTTCCAATGTACTGTTCCAAATTATTACGCACAGTAAGTTTCAAAACACTTTATAGGTTGTAATGAACTGAAAATTGTCATTTGTTGTGTTTGCAGCATATTTACTGAAATCAAAAGCTATTTCAATCAAACTTTTAACAACATTTTAACTTTTTAAACATTTTAACAGGTCATGTTACATTGTAACATAGGACCCCTTGTTTGATAGCAGCTTCACAAGTCTTGCATCCATTAAACTTGTGAGTTTTTGGACAGTTTCTGCTTGAATTTGTTTGCAAGATGTCAGAATAGCCTCCCAGAGCTGCTGTTTGGATGTAAACTTCCTCCCACCCTCATAGATCTTTTGCTTGAGGATGCTCCAAAGGTTCTCAATAGGATTGAGGTCAGGGGAGGATGGAGGCCGCACCATGACTTTCTCTCCTTTTATCCCCATAGCAGCCATTGATGCAGAGGTATTCTTTGCAGCATGAGATGGTGCATTGTCATGCATCAAGATGATTTTATTACGGAAAGCATAGTTCTTCCTTCTGTACCAGGGAAGAAAGTGGTCAGTCATAAACTCCACATACTTTGCAGAGGTCATCTTTACACCTTCGGGGGCTCTAAAGGGGTCGACCCGCTCTGTTCCCATGATTCCGGCCCAAAAAATTACTCCACCACCACCTTGCTGACGGCGCAGCCTTGTTGGAACATGGTGGCCGTCCACCAACCATCCACTACTCTATCCATCTGGACCATCCAGGGTTGCTCGGCACTCATCAGTGAACAGGACTGTTTGAAAATTAGTCTTCATGTATTTTTCTGCCCAATGCAGCCGTTTCTGCTTCTGAGCATTGGTTATTGGTGGCCGAATAGAAGGTTTATGCACAGTTGCAAGACTCTGGAGGACTCTACACCTTGATGTCCGTGGGACTCCAGAGGCACCAGCAGCTTCAAATATCTGTTTGCTGCTATGTAATGGTATTTTAGTAGCTGCTCTTTTGATCCGATGCATGGATCTGGCCGAAATCTTCCTCAATGTGCCTTTATCTGCACGAACCCGTCTGTGCTCTGAATCAGCCACAAATCTCTGAATAGTGCGATGATCACACTTACGTTTTCGTGAAATATCTAATGTTTTCATACCTCGTCAAAGGCATTGAACTATTTCACTCTTTTCGGCAGCAGAGAGATCCTTTTTCTTCCCCATATTGTTTGAAAATGGTGCTCTGCTTAATAATGTGGAACACCGTCCTTTAGTAGTTTTTCCTTAAATTGGGCTCACCGGCCAATCTAATTATCACAGGTGTCCGAGATTCTTTGTTTTCAGTGATCAAAAGAGCCCTGACACACAATGCCATCCGTGCGTTAAACTAAAAAACAAAATATTTAATCTTTGTGACACTTAATTTGCAGAATAATTTGGAACGTGGTGTACAGTAGCCCAGAGAATCCCGGCTTTCTATTTACTGAAGTCTGCTTCGCTGGAAGTTGATTGCTTATTGGTTGCTATTAATTACTGCGTTTTGCTCCTTTTTAGAGTTGGATTCTCCTGACCTAAGCAGTTTGAAATGCTCTTTCATTTTTAAGCTTGTTGCTTTTTGTTATTAATGTATTACAATTGTATTATATTTATACATTGCATGCATAATAGGAGGTGCTAATAGTTGCTTTAAATTACAGGAGCAGCATTTACCGAAGGCTTATCCAGTGGATTAAGTACATCTGTAGCTGTTTTTTGTCATGAACTACCACATGAATTGGGTAAGACTGAACTACATGGATGTAGCTTAATAGTACTGTGATTGTCCATGGAGGGGTGGATATGTCGGTCGCACAACATATTTTCTTGAAGAGGAACCCATTTTTAAAAAACGAAGGGTTAGCCGCGATAAATATTGTAGCACCGCCATCTTGGATTAGGGAGCAGGCCGGGACTTCTTGATGAATTACAACTGGCTCCCAAGTGTACATGAGCAAGATTACGCCGTGCCGTGAGACTGGTCTACAGCATTCTTGGATATGTGATGTGTTTCAGGAGCTGCGGGTGGGGAGCGGGATGAGCAGTACTTTCCCTTTTGAGTGTAGTTCTATTTTACAGTGGAAGTAAACTTCATCTTTAAAAAATTTGCTGACAGACGGGATATTTATGACAGAAGAGCCCCTATCGGTCTCTTCTGCCATAAATCCATCCTGCCTGTCAGCAGTCATGCACAATGAGCCGTGCATGTGCAGCTCAACGAACATTTATGGCCCCAATCTGTGCCTTGGAGATGTGACACTTGTGCACTTGCGTGGGAGTGACGTTATTGTGGCCTGGCCTATCAATCGACAGAAGGCACGGAACACAGAAGGAAGACTGGACGAAGATGGAAGCGCCCAGGGCTTGCTGGACTGATCCCACCGCAGCTTCTGATGGTCTGCCATAATATACTAATATGCCGTGCATACTAGCACATTATGGCATAATCCACCTGGGGGCCCCTAAAGAGAATTATATAGCGGAGTAACCACCGATTTAAGTCACTCCTGGATATAGGATGCTAAAGTGATTAGATGAACTCCAACAAGCATGTAAACACTTTTTTTTTTTTTTTTTCCTCTCTCTCTCAAGAAATTGTCTGAAATAAGTATTTAACCACTTCCCGCTGGCCGTGCACATATATGTAAATGCTTTAATGTGCTGAGAGCACGCTCCCATCACAGTAATCAGTGGGTACCAGAAAGCTCCCAATCACAAGTATGCATCAGGAGCTTTCTGCTCATGTGACTGTCTATCACAACGTTCACATGATCGCAATACCCCCCCCCCCCTCTACCTCCCAGCATTTAGAACCTCTGCAAGGGCCTGGAGGCGGCTGCGGCGGGAAGGGGTTAACACCATACAGTACCAACCATTGCAGGACTCTACAGGACCTCTTTATTAAGGCAGCATCTACCTCGTTAAAGGTGCCCTGAAACATTGATGATGCTAACCTAGTAAATACTGTATTTCCTTGATACAACGGAGATACCCTGGCTTCTGTTAAATGGTTATTATCTCTTTTCAAGATTGAATTACTTCACTGCGGTTATGGGTTTATATGGTAATATGGAAAGACTGGGTAACAGTAGCCTGTGGCACCATATTTATGCTCTGCTTTTGGCTCATTAGTGGTCCAACAAATGAAAACTGTTAAGATCACAGTATATCCCATTTCAGGATGGGAGCCCGATTTTAAATAAAAGTAATGGCTATTTCCCAAATATACCCATCTGACTGGTCTGCACCCTGTGTTTGCATGCCACCGTTTCTATTTATTGCTGTGAAAGGTCTGTCCTCAGAAAATATTACACTTTTTAATACATTTATTGATGCCTGAACACCACTAATTACCTATTTAAGTTCCTTAATGCCAAGGGCTCCTGTGCCCTTTGTAGTATATAAGCTTTTAAGCCTGGAATGTCTGTTCAGAAACTCTAAAGAATGTTGATTGTAAATTCTCTTATGTGTGCTTTTGCGGTTTCGTGACATTGTTTCTTTGCATTTTATTTCCTAGGGGATTTTGCAGTCCTTCTGAAAGCTGGAATGACTGTAAAACAAGCTGTGTTATACAACGCCCTCTCTGCTATGCTGGCATACCTGGGTATGATAACTGGGATTCTTATAGGCCATTATGCAGAGAATGTTTCAGTGTGGATCTTTGCTCTTACAGCAGGGCTATTCATGTATGTGGCTTTTGTTGATATGGTAAGTGCATCTGTTTAATACTGTATTTTACTATGGTATGTAGGGGACTCTACACACTTAATAGTGGTGACATAAGAGTTCAAATGAGGCTGGGAAAAAAAATTCCATATGAGCCGCACCGCTCCAGCCAGGCCATACTCCCTACGTGTTTTAGTCCGCTCCCAGAGCTTAATTATGTTCTCCATGGTTAAACACTGGGGTGGAGTGAAACACATTGGAGGCGTGGCTTGAGTGGAGCCTGGGCTGAGGCTTTTGCACTTTCTTTCTTGGGGTTTTCAGAAATGTTCGGCTCATATGGGCATGTTTTTCCCTGTACACTGCTGCCTGGAGCCGGGACAAGCTCCATCCTAGCCTGCACTAACCATTGTTGGCTTTATTGATTGGGATCCTTAGAGCCTGCGCAGCATCCACAATTTCTGTTTGGGGTCACATCAAATGCGGCTGTTGTGTGCTTATTCAGCCTCCTCTTATGGCTCTGGTGAAGAGCAAAAGAGTAGATCTCAGCCAGAATGTAAAGTGCAAAATAGGTCAGCTGGTAAAGATGTGCTGCATTAAAAAAAATATCCAAAGACAAATTTGAACAATCAATCACAAAAATAGAATTGATAAAAGTTTGAACGTGATATTTGTATCCAGTCTCAGGGAAACAACAGAAAAGCTTATAAGGGAAGTAGGTAGATAAAATGACCCATCTACATGTCATGTATTGGTGACAGAGATAGGAAAGCAAAAGTCCTAGTACATGATTGCCAGCTAGAGGAAAGGCAGACTTTTGATATGGTATCTGCTGTCTGTGGCTGTACCTCTTCCAACTCTGCAAGATATTTGAGACTTGTCATAGACCTGTGGAATGTTTGCGCACATGTGGGGGCTACGCTTGCATACGCTTCAATTTTTCCTGTTTGTACAGACATGTTGCTGGTCTACCAGTTTTCAAATACCTGGCAAAAAAGTAGTGTCATGGCTTCACATGTGGTCCCTGGCCATCTATGATCTTGGGAGGCCAGAAGCGATGTCATGACGTCAGTTCTGGCTCTGGCAGATGTAAACGCTGCCATTTTTTTTCCTGGAAAGCAGAGATTGATGTTGTGTGTGTTTTTTTTTAATTTTATTTTAATTTCATGCTTTCCAGGGTAGAGGAGATATCTGGCATCTAAGGCTACATTCACACTAGCTTTGTTAGTAGGCATTAGACAAGCGATTGAGGAACGATAAAAAACCCTTCCCAATCACCTATGAAAATTCTACACATGACAGCGCACAGTGTTGTTCACACTGAAGCGTTAGCGTCGCGGCAAAATTGACGTCTCATGTCGAGTCTGGAGGCGTTGAAGCCTCCCATTCAAGTCTATGGTTACGCACCTCAAACTGCTGGCAGGTGTTTGCGGGGCATTTGCAGAGCGTTGATACCATTAAAATTCATTATAGGCTTTTGTGGTGCAGTTGTGACGCTTGCCAAACACCTCAAAAACACGTGTAGGGCGTTAAAAAACTTCCCTAATGCTTTTCAAATGCTATAGGGGCGTTTGGCAAGCCTTAGAAATTAGTCAAGTGTGAACGAGCCCTTATTGAGCCCAGATATCTCCATAAAGAGGACCTGTCATGCCTTATTCCTATTACAAGGGATGTTTAATTTATTTTATCACTTTTATGCTGAATACAAGACATGTAAAGTTCAGTGTAAAAATAAAAAGATATAAAAATAATATAGAAAACATTTTTTTAACGCACCCCTCGTACTCCCGTACACAAGCGAACGCACACCTAGGTTGTGCCCGCGTATATAAACCGCGTTTGCACCACACATGTTGGGTATCGCTGCAAATGTTAGAGTGAGAGAAATAATTGAAACGCTAGACCTCCTCTGTAATTCTAAACTAGTAACCAGTAAAAAAATTTTAAAGCATTGCCTGTGGAGATTTTCAAGTAACCTAGTTTGGCGGCATTCCACGAGTGTGTGAAATTTTAAAGCGTGGCATGTTGGGTATCTATTTACACAGCGTAACATCCTCTTTTATATTTACCAAAAAATGATATATATTGTTTTTTGCATTAAAATCCATTAAAGTGTATTTTTTCCACAAAAATTGCATTTGAAAAATTGTTGCGCAAACATCATGTGACAAAAAAACCTGCAATGACAACCATTTTTCTTTTTTTCCTCTCTAGTCTCTGCTAAAAATAAAATATATATATATATATATATATATATATATGTTTGGGGTTCTGAGTAATTTTCTAGCAAAAGAAAATATTTTTACATGGAGAGAAATGCCAGAATTGACCTGGGCTGGAAGTGGTTAATAAAATGTGTCATTTTTATGTTCAATATAGCATGACTGTTATTAACCACCTCCTGGCCGCCATATAGTACAATGACGGACGCAAGGTGGTTATCTCGTTCTGGGAGGAAGTCCTATAACGTCCTCCCATTCTCACCGCACATGCGCGGCTCAGGGAGCGCACGGCGATCGGCGGTGCGCTGCGTCCCCCGGACACAGCGGATCACTGATCACGGAAAGAGCCGAAGATGTCGGCTCGGTCATGTGATCAGCTGTGTCCAATCACAGCTGATCACATGTAAACAGAGAAATGCCGGTTCTTGCCATTTCTCTCCTCTCCAGCTGTCACACTGACAGCTCGAGAGGAGAGCCGGTAATCTGCATTCCTCGGAGGGGACATGTACACTGATCATCAGGGCACTGATGATCAGTGTGCCCTGATGATCAGTGTAGCCCCAGCAGTGCCACCTGTCAGTGCCTTGTGCCAGTACCCATCAATGCCACATATCAGTGCCTACCAGTGCACATCAATGCCACACATATCCGTGCCCATTGGAGCAGCCTTTCAGTGTCACTCATCAGTGCCAGTCAGTGCCGCCTATCAGTGCATATATCAGTGCTGCCTTTCAGTGCCCAATCGTGATGCCTGTCAACGCCCATTAGTGCCACCTACCAGTGCCTCCTCATCAGTGCCCATCACTGCAGTCTCATTAGCGCACATCAGTGAAGGAGAAAAATCACTTATTTACAAAATTTTATAACAAAAACTAAAACTTTTTTTTTTCCTTCCAAATTTTCAGTGGTTTTTGGTTTAAGAAAAAAATAAAAACCCCAGAGGTGATTAAATGCCACCAAAGTAAAGCTCTATCTATCACAAAAAAATTATAAAAAATTTCATATGGGTACAGTGTTGCATGACCGCGCAATTGTCATTCAAAGTGCAACAGTGCTGAAAGCTGGAAATTGGACTGGGCAGGAAGGGGGTATAAGTGCCCTGTAGGCTTGTGGTTAAAAACACTTCATAATGTTTCCGTATACTCAGGGGCGGACTGACAGCTCATGGGGCCCCTGGGCAATAGGGGATCATGGGGCCCCTGTGTCCTTGTCCAAACTCAAAAAAGCCTATGGAAAAGGTACCAGGGGCATCTCATTGGGCCCCCTACTGACCCCGGGCCCTCGGGCAGTGCCCGAGTTTCCAAATGGTCAGTCCGCCCCTGCATATACTCGTTTCATATTTATTGTATTATTTTTTAGCAGTGTACTCTTTAGCATTGCATGCATGACTGTATATTGCGTAATATAGCAGATTTTTTTTATACAGCATATGTATTATATTCCTGTGTTGTGAACCATGTGTGTGATCCTTGTTTCTTTGGTCATTGTACTGAAACATAATCCCTGTTTCTGGTTTGCAGGTACCCGAGATGTTGCACAATGATGCAAGTGACCATGGCTGCAGTCGTTGGGGATATTTTCTCTTGCAGAATGCAGGAATTCTTTTAGGATTTTTCATCATGTTGGTTATTTCTGTATTTGAATCTAGAATTGTTTTCATTGTTAACCTATAACTATAGGTTGCCTGTGGTCATCAAATTCACACAACAAACAACATTAATATATTATTTTTTTTTGTTATGCAGTGAGCATATCTATTTTTATACTAATTGTGAAAAAACTGCACTTAGTGACTTTGGAGAAGATGCAGTAACACTGCAAAGGTCATTAGCAAACAAATGGTTTGTGCCAAATGCATCCTTTTTTTTTTTTTTTTTTTTTTTTTTTTTTTAGCTACCATTTTTTATGCATTTAATAGATGCTGTCTCAATAGAAGTTCTTCATGTATGTCATTTTCTACCATTGGCAAATCCTAGTTTTTGGAGATTTTGTTTATTCTTTTTCTCCATTTTTATCACTTCTGTGTGTCTTTCTGAGCCCAATATATAGGTCAGCATCAACTGCAAAACACAGAGCCAGTTGGGGAGTCATTAAGTTGCTTATCAATGGTTATAATTGTTCTTTCCAGTGAAAGAGGCTTAAAGCTTTATTCCACCTTTACAATAGAAATTAAATTACCAGGCTTTGTTAAAAAAAAAAAAAAAAACACAAAAAAAACAAAAAACAAACACTGCCTCCTGCAGACTTGCCATTCCAACCGTCCAGCACTGGTCGTCTTCTTGGATGAATGACACTCACCATCCTTCAACCCACTTTCTGTAAGCTCAGTCTGTCATGGATATGCACCTTAGGAGCTGCACAAAGAGTCACACATTAAGTGAGCACTGTTCATACATGAGTAAAGACCACCTACTGCCGCTGTCAGACAAGAAGTACATGTGTCATCATGTGACTGCCCAAAAAAGACTGCTGGATTTATTGTGTATGCTGTTTATTTTGTTAATGTATGGGGCAGCAGTAAAAGTGGAGTTGGGCTTTAAAGTCACTTGCTAGCTAAGTTGTAAAGCAAAGATGTTTACAAAGCAAAGTCAACTTTGTAAATCTGCATCTTCTGCGGTGTTTGGCTATACTTATACAGCATATGTAAAC